GGCCTGGAAATTTGAGGCCCAATAACACAAAGCCTTTGTTGACTTCTGGGAATTGGCTATGCAAGCTTTGACTGGGGAGCATGGTGTTCATCTATCCCTGGCCTTTGGATCACTGCTTGAAGCCACATGGCAGGCTGGGACATGAGGCATATGGTGGAATTCTTGATAAGCGCTGCATATGAATTTGTTAGAAAAAATAGAACAAGTATTTTGGGTGGACCTGGGAATCGAACCAAGGTCCCAACGATTTCCAGACACGTCCTCTTCCACTAAGCCAACTGCACGCTTTTGTTATAATAATGGACAATGAAATTAATGTATGAAAACAATAATTATGCTGGGAAATAAATGGAACGCGCGCTATTATTCAAACCAGCCAATCACACATCCACATGTAATCGTCTTCTTCCTTTTTTCCCTGTAAAACAAAAGCAGTCAGCGGGGGTTTTAAACCCCCACAAAGTGAAACTGTCAATAATAGCGAATAGAAATCCAAGCCATATAAATATGGCGCGAGGTGTCCATTGTACTCGTCACGTTCAGTCGGTTTCAACCATGGGCATGGGAGGTTCCAATTTTGCCTGGTCAAGAAAGCCCTAAAATCAAAGCTTCAAAACCCTAGATTTCTTTAATGGCAGTTTTCGTTTCAGGGCACCATAATACAATTAATCTGTACCATTAGCTTCAGAATGATGTTAGCAATGCAAAGCAATAATCATAACATGTTAATGATGCATAAAACTTGAGTTTCAATTATGGAAAAGAATGCTAAACCGTATGACTGTTTGAGGTGATTCCTGGAGCTTTAAGGCTTGTTTTCGATTGCAATGTGTTCCTGAATGTCCCAGCAAGGTATTGGAATCAAGAAAGGGATTTGAATTGGCCTAGAACACTGAAAACAGTTTTGAGTTTTCTTGGTTTTTTTTCAATATGGCATATGGTTTTTGCAGCAGCTTGCACGTCCAAGGCTTTAGGGTTTGCTTCAGTATTTGTATTGGGATGGAATTAGGGTACAAACTAGGTCAAAGATCCATGAAATAATGTTTTGCATCTTTGATTTCCAATCAAATATTTTTAAATCTTTTGATTGAAAAACCTTGCCAAAATTGGATATTTTTTCCTCTTTGATGGATGCACGAAATTGCCAGCTTGCCCTGATCTTATTTGCTTCACAAAAGATTTGAAAACCATATCTTTTGAATTTTCCTACAATTAAATGAATTAAATGAATTAATAATCAATTAAAAATCCAAATAATTAATAAAAATAAGAAAATAATTCAAATTAATCTCAATGGGTCGTGCATAGGCCTTGGACAAAGTTTCAAGAAAGAATTTGAGGCCCATTAGCAAAAATGAAGTGTTTTGGGCAAAGTTGACTTTTGCAAATTCCCAAAAATTTCCCAACTTCTCCAATGCATATCTTGCTCAATTTTGATCCTATGAACATGTTCTTGAACATTTTGGAAAGGTCTTGAAGTCCTATAACCAATGCCTTTGGTCCCATGTCATTTGGATTTACCAATCTCAAGTTATGGTCTTTGACTTAAAATGCCTTTTTGTTGACTTTTGAAATTGACCTATAATGTAGAAATTTATAACTTTTTGTGAGAGCATTTCTTGGACTTGGAGTGTGAAGATGAGTTGTAGGAAATGTCATCCCCTTCAAAATGAGCATTGGATGGGATTTTTATGATGAACCATGCAAAAGTTATGCCTTGGTCAAGTTACAGTTGACTTTTCAGCTGTCCAAAAATAGAAACTTTTGCATCTTTGATGATTTTTGAGCCATGCTTGTGGAATCATGATCAAGACTTGATCAAATGATGATTGTGGCTTCAAGATGAGATGTTGACCAAAATTTTTGAATTTTGACTGCCAAATGACCATTTTAACCCTACAGTTGATTGTGAAGCAAATGGAGCTTTTGACTGTGCAATTTGATGCTGTGAGTCTTGCAACTTGACATGTGGATGTTTGACAATGTGTATAGGCATATGTGACTTGATTGGACCACTGAAAACCTTAACTTCCTTGCAAGAACCAAAACCCTAATTTTGACTGCCTTAGGAGGCAATTGGACTGTGCAACCCTTGAGGAATCTTGAAGCATTTGAAGATTGATCTTGACAAATCTTGAAGAATATGGGAGGGCAAATTTTGGGGTACAACATCGGCGAACCAAAAAGGTTCGGGAAAAAGTTAGGGATAAAAAAAAATGTACACCCGGAAAGTTGAAAACCCGGAAGGGCGACTTGGGCAAAAAAGGGTTTCCCGGTGGACTGAAAACCCGAGAGGGAGGTCCAGGCAAAAGTTAGGGAATTAAAGCGTATGGCTATGTCCCGTTGGATCACTTTACGGACAACCTTTGGCTTCAACTAACAAACTCAGAGGTTCTGATCAATTTAATCATCTTCGGATGAGGCAACAAATAGACAAGACGCTCGGAGATACGAAGGCTATAGCAGAATGGAAACCCCATGGGATTTTTATACACATAACTGTCTTTTCTTTGTATCAAAATTTTCATTTTTTACGACAACATTATCTTACTAGAATGTTTGTCTCCTTGTACAAAAATACTTATTCAAAGTCAATACAAAATATTCCTTTGAAATTGCAAAAACTATTTGTCTTTTCTTTACGCTTGTTTTATTTACAAAAACGTCCAATGATTCATTGTTGAGCATAATTACTGTTTACAAATAAAAAAAATAGGAAAGACAATTACTGGTAAGTTGAAAGGATAGGAAAATATGTCTAGGCTATTCCATAAATAATCCCCTGCAGTACGTCGTTTAAATCCCCAACGGAACAAAGTTTCAAATTATCAATCTGAAGGAAAATTGCGATCAAAAGCGCAGCGGAATTTAAAATTTTCCTTTAGAGATCCTTACGAATGAACATGGTCAGTGATAGAAATATTTACCTCTTGTGGCGATTCAGACCTTTGATGTTGTGATCACGAGCGTTGATGAAGAACAACGCCTCTACTCAGTCCACACGAACAGATTGCTTCCGGTCACAGTGCTAGCTGATCACGAATGGAAACCTTGAGTGAGAGAGAGAATCAAAAACGAAATTGCATCAAAATGAAATTGCTTCATCACAAGGGATCTATTTATAGAATCACTCGTGTGGTCTACAAGCTAAAAGCCCAATTAAGGCTATAAGCTAAAAGCCCAATTAAGCTTATGGACATCATACCTTATGATGTACCATATATCACTTATCCACGTGGTACCTTACCACTTTCCGTATTACACTTAAATGCACCTTACCTTACGGTGTTCCTTATTTATTCTATCTCTCATCAACCTGTCCTTATGTGTGTGACCCTGTAGGTTTTCGCGACGTTGGCAATTATATTAAATCACACATTTAATATAATAAACAGTGAGCGGTATCTAGCAACACATCACTGTTACCCAAGTCACGAAAATGTCATGTGATCTGTGTAGCGGTGAAAATCGGAGATCAAGCTATTAATTAACTTGACTCGCAAAAGCAAGAGTCGCCACCGCGCTTTATTTTTTCCAAGGGAAAAGGGAAAAGAGCGAAATAAAACCCTAAAATATGCAATGTAAAATAATACTTAAAAGTAATAAAATACAATGCGTTTTTGAAAGAGATCGAGAGTTCGGGGGTTGGTTATACAGTGGGAAGGTATTAGCACCCAATGCATCTGCGGTACTCCGCAGGAACCTTTTGAAATATCTGTTTTTTTGGTTTAAAATTGTTTGTTTGATTAAAATGATTCATTTGGCTAAAAGACGGGTATGGACGAGATTTTTGGAGATACGACGACCTAGTGTCGAAGTTTTGACTTAAAAGGTGTGAGTTTGAAAATTGAATCTTTTGGGAAAATTATCTCAGGTTTAACAAAATAGTAAACAAACAAAAGATGAATGAGGGTATTCACACGATTGGATGAGATGTGTTTGATGACGTGAAGTCAACAAATTTAAATCTTTCCCTTGGAGTAAATCGAGCAAGTAAAATAAGATGAATCCACAAAGTATAAACATTCAAAATTTCACAAGAAAAACAAATCTAATGAAACAGATTAATGACCAAAAGCATCGAGAAATTAAAATGACAAAGATATTTAAATAGAATAAAAGAGAATGTAACTAATTATCTAAAGAAGTTATTCGAACTAAATTAAAAATTACTTACTAAAATAATTCTAAACTAATTACAAATTCTAAGGTTATAAAAAAAATCTAGTATTATTGAATTTGATCTAAACTAAACTAAAGCTTTAAAATTTAGTAAGTTAAATCTAGATTAAATTAAAATCCTAAGGTTACTAAACTAAATCTAAAACAAATGAAAATTCTAAAACTACTAAACTAAATTTAAATAAAACTCTAAAGTTATTAAACTAAATAAAAATTATAAGTTTATTAAACTACTTCTAAATCAAATAAAAATTATGAATTTATTAAACTAATTCTAAATCAAATAAAAATTCTAAAGTCACTAAACTAAAACCAAACAAATAAAATTCTAAAGTTAACTTAAATAAAATCAAATAAAATTCTAAAGTTATTAAACTAAGACTAAACAAATGAAATTCTAAAGTTAACTTAAATAAAATCAAATAAAATTCGAAAGTTATTAAACTAAACTAAAACAAATAAAATTCTAAAATTTACTAAATGAAATAAAATTCTAAAGTTATAAAATAAATCTAAACTAATTAAAGAATTCTAAATTAATATTAAACTAAATTAATTATAAGATTTACAAATATATTTTTTATTTTTTTATAACTAATTAAAAGGAATTTAATTGCATTAACCTAAATATCTAAAAGTATAAAGAAATAGAAAGGGGGTGTATAAGCATGTTATCGGCCCTTTAGGCCCAAACTCAATATAAAGACACTAACCCTAATTTTAAATGTGTGCCATTGATAGTAAACAACAATATAAATTTGAGACCCACCCTGAATACCAGCAGCGGCGCCCCAGCCTCAAGCAAAAGCTTGACAACCTCAAACGATAATTCCGAATAACCGCAACGCTTCACCAAACAGACTTTTACGATTGCAAGCAGTGAGAACACCAATGAAAGTAATCTCATTAGGTTTTGGTCCAACCTTCTCCATCTTCTCAAACAGTTTCAGTGCCATCAGATTATTCCCATTAATAGCCAATCCCAAAATCATAGCACTCCAAGTAGCAACATCTTTAACAACCATTTTCTCAAACACTTCCTCTGCACTCTTTAAACAACCACATTTCGTGTAGAAATCAATTAACGCTGTTCCAAGCTCAAGTTCATACTCCAAACCATTTTCCTCAACATAGGAATGAATCCATTTCCCTTCCTCAAAAGCACCCACCATTGTACAAGCCTTAAGAACACTCGCCAAAAGAGTCCCATTGGGTTTCACACCCGCACAACCCTTGTTCTTCTTCAATTCACGAAAAAGCTCAATCCCCTCACTGAAAAAACCCGTTCTTTACATACCCAGAAACCATAGCACTATAGGACGCATCATTTCTCTGTGGCATTTCGTCAAACAATTCCCTCGCTTCATTAACCAACCCGCAACTGCAATAGCCACTCACGAGACTCGTCCAACAAACTACATTTCTGTTAGAACTTTCATCGAACACATTACGCGCAAAGTGTATCGCCCCGTGTTTCGAAAAAGCAATGATAAGAGAGCTCATGAAATATAAATCAGATGAATTTCCCAACTTCATGGACAGAGTGAAGACTTGTTCTAGAGAGGAAAGTGTATGACATGCTTTTACAACAGTGGTGAAAGTGTTGGAATTGGGGCGAATATTGGTGTTGAGCATTTTGGTGAAGATGGAGAGTGATTTGTGGGATTGGGAATTTGTTGTGTAAGAGGTGATGATGGAGTTGTAGTCGAAGAGATTGGGATTGAGGATGTGGGTGAAAAGGGTCTCTGCGTAGTGAAAATGGCTGCGCGGTGAGAAAGAGTACAAGGCTAAGATTCTGCTGGAGATGTAGGAGAAACGAGTGAGGTTGTTGGTGATGGTGGATGATATGAAGGAATGTTGTTTGGATGGCAGAGGGAGTATTGTGATACGTTGGTGAGTTGAAGAAGTAGGAGAGTGAAATTGAAAATTGAAAATTGAATGGAGAATTGGTTTGTGGGAGGAATAGATGAAATGAGGAAGTATGAGTTTGTGGTTACTGTAAGTTTATGAGGGAGGAGAGGGGAAGTAGATTGGGGAGCATACAAGTACAAATAAACACCGCTAGCTACAACAACTAGAATACTACAACTAGGTTCCAAAATAGAGTTTTATTTTTGTAATAATCTTATTTAATTAAAGGATGGAACTGTATTAGTTAGAGAGAAAATTGAGAAAAAGGAAAATTAAGTAAAGTAAACAAGATTAACGAAAAGAAAGGTGGAAGTGAAAGAATGAAGACATGGTTTTGGTTGGAAATTTAGAACACAGAGGTATTTGTGTTTGATAGATGAAAGAATAGGGAGTACTGTGTTGCTTTTTTGTTTTTGTTTTATGGAGTAGAGAAAGAGATAAGTGTCCTGTTCCAAAGAGTAAAATAAACTTTATATAGAAAAAATGAAAAAACAGAATTTGATTTCAAAATTAATCTCAACCGTTCAAAATTATTCAATATGCATTAATCCTCAACTTTTGTCAACAACCAATAAAAATCAAGTATAGTGTATTCAATATTTTTTATGACAAAGACACCCTTAAATGATAAAAATGAAATAAAAAAACTGAAACTATTAAAGTTAACTCAATTTAAAATAATTTTGAAATTTTCAGAATAAAAAATAAAGACCCAAAATGACCGAAAACGATAAAAAATGGACGAAAGTTTATCCGAAAAAATAAAATGAACACATTAAAATAATCTACATGTCACAAAGATTAAAGAAAAAAATATTCAAGAAGTCAAAAATCAAAAATAAAATAATAATAAAATATCAGACTAAACAGACGTTTAAGATTAAAAACGAGACTTCGAACTGTACCAAAAAAATAAAGCGAGCATACCGTCATAATCTACGCGAAACGCAGATTCATAAAATGATCGGTAAAAGGTGAAAACTTGAAATATTTTCTCGCTAATTTCCCGTATAGTGTCGAATCGCTTTTAACAGTCTGTCTATAAAACCGAAATATTTTATTATCGACATATAAACAACTTGGAGCAATGCAAGAAAATAGTAAACAGATAAAAATGAATGAAGTGAAATGTCAGGTATTTTACAACTGAAAGACGATGCAAACTTTGATGTAAACTGACTTTTTCTGGTCAACTTAAATACGACTAATGATGCAAAATGTGATGAATGAAGATATTTACTAATGATTGTGACCAAATGACAAAATATGGTATGAAAGTGCGACTGAAAAAATTAGGGGCGAAATTAAGGGTGCAACGGTGTGCCTTGATGAATCAGTCTTCGAGAATCCACAATCAACCGTATTTCTGGCTTGGGAGACTCAAAACCTTAATTGAGGCGCGACACCTGATGCTCTTGATTCAGACCTGTCTCTGCACATGACACAAAAGAACACGAACATACACCTTTGTATGCGATTAGAAATTAGTGATACATATGCTAAAAATGTTCAAAACACTTGACAATCTTCGCATAGTTAAAGCTCGAAGGTGAGACGTTAAAACCGACCGTATTTCGTGACCTTGACTTATCTTAAAAAATGTAAAAATAAAAATGGGATCTTAGGTCAAAAATTGGGGTACAACAATCTGACCAAACCTTTTCCGTGATAATATTTGTGTTGTACAATTACCCTTTTGCCCTCATGTCTATATTGAACACAAGGCATACACTGTGTCACCCTTGTCCAGTTCAATATTGGGCCCTTAGACATTTATCCTGTTATGCAAGATGAGCAAATTCCATCTAGGTCACTCATGTCCCTTAGCATGCTTTGTGAAGTACCCATCAACCGTCTTTATAGTCATCCAGTTACGGATGACGTTTGATCAGCAATAAAGTACTTGACTCTAAATCTAGGGTCCATAGTGGTTTCAGGTCGAAGGGTGGTATACACCATTATCACCATGAGAATAACTTATGACACTTTGCATAACATTCTATGTAGTTTTCTCATAGCGGGTCAATCCAGTATAAATATTACTCCTAATATTCATACCTATGTCAAGACTTGATAACTCCTTATCTATGATCCATGAGATGTGATCATCAATCTCTCTTCATAATAATCTTAATGCTTTAATGTTATCCCACTTCACATTAAAGCTTGATTACGGATACTTTAAGAATAATGTCTTATATTTAATGGGATCTCATGATTAAGTCACACTTAACATTTCATTAAAAAAATAAACCATTCTAGGGACTTTATCATTTTGGAAAGCAAACATAATAAAGAAATGCCTTTTATTATTAATAAATAATTCGATACAAGTACCAAAAGTATTGGCTTCTAGGGCTTACACCAACACAATCCCCAGTAGAAGTCGTCCAATTTCTCAGGATTCCCCAACAGAATTTTACAAGTAGTACATGGTATTGCCATTACAACAAAGTTTATTTCTCTAAACAGAAATTCATCAACACTTCGACTTCAAAGCATGAAGACTTACATATCCTCAACAGCAGTCAAGGATTTATTTTCCCCAATCCAACAACAGTGCGGAAAATTAGCTCACATACGCATACATTGCATCCATATTGTTGGCTCCTAAATTCGACACCCTCGTTTTATTAATGTCATCCATCAAAGCTGAAGGATGTTTTCGACCAGCTGGGTCCGTCGAAATGCCCATCGAAAGATGGCAATGTACTTAGAGGATTTCTTCCAAGGGAGAAGTTGGTTGCCTTCGACGTCGAAGGTGTTTCTCGTCGAAGATGCTTCTCGACGAAGGTGTTCGATGGTTCAGAGTGGAACGGTTTGAAATTCAAGCGTTTGGAGGGAAAACGGTTTCCAGCGGTTACCAAGTGCAACGTGCAAAGATCTGGAGCGTCGAACGCTGAGAACGTGCCAAGTGGAGTCATCTCGAAGCAGTGTAACTGCCCGACAGTTACTTGGGATGTTTTAGTATAAATAGTAGTAGTTCACGCAGTTTCTCGCGTGTGTTCACAATTATATACAAAGTCACTCATATAGATTCGAGTACCCAGCGTGTGAGAAAGAATTGTTGAGAATGTATGTGTGAAACACCACTTTTATTAATCAAAGTCATTTACTTTCCAGAAACTTTACTTGTTTTCTTCTTTACTTTTCCTGTCGAAGCCCTTTATTTCAAGCATTCATTTATTTTATCAAAGTCCACTTCTTCATGCAATTTACTTAAAGCCTCTTTATTTTCTTGTCATTTAACCATTATCCAATTTAATCAAAACCTCAAAATCAACCTATGTCTTAGGATCAATCTGATCGATCCTGCGAGTAACCAAATAAGTAACCATTTGGAGGATCAGCGGTTGTTTACCAATAACCACGGTAAACAAATTGGCACACCCGGTGGGACTGTGTGTTGATTTTTGAAGTTTAACCTTTTAAAGCATAATCTCATCTTTTTCGAGGAGTGTTGTATGTTATTGAGAAGTGGTAGAATATACACTAACGATAACAATACTGCTAGAAGAAGGGAAGAGATGGCGAATCCGCCAAACAATAACGAAATCCCACAAACAAATGTGGGAGCAACGGTTATCCCGACCGTAAGTGAAGCGATAACCGCTGGTTCAACACCAGCAGTAACGGTCACAACAATGGGGCCATTACCTCCGTTCACAGGCCCCAGAGTGCCTTTGGGAACTCCCCCACCAAGGGAAAATTTAGGCACAAGGCCTTTTGTTCCCCCAGGATTTATGACAGGCGGTCATAATCGAGAACCACTCTATGGCATGCCAACTTCTGACTTGGCTAGCCTGACGAATGCCGCGTCCACTTTTTTAGACCCTTTAGTGAGTGCCTCTTCGCCACTCCAAGGTTCTGGAGTAGGTATGGCGAATAGAAATAGGACCCAACTCTTAGGAGGAACGTCCCAAGTAGCACATGGCCTTACGAATGCCTCGACAGCAGTCTTGAGGCAACAAATGGACGAAAGCAACCATGATATGGTTCAAATGTTGGCACAAACTTTAAGTACAGTGCTGAACCCTCTAATACAAAACACTACTCAATCGAATCAGCAGATGACAACGCAAATGACACGTTTGGCTGATTTCTTTGGAGTACCCCAACCTATTCGACAGCCCCAAAGGGCGCAAATAAGGGGAAACCAGGGTGTGTTCTTAGAGGAAGAGACCACTATCAACCAAGTCCAACAACCTGTCGAAGAAAACCTTAGGGCACGGTTGGAGAAACTTGTTGAGGAACCTAGGGTAATAACCCCGGAGGTAAGGTTAGTTAACATAAACCAAAATGCTGACGAAGTAGTTCAGCATATCCAATACCAAAACATGGGTCTGGAAAATAATCTGGCAACCATGATCGAAAGGATCATGACTCAAAATGGGATGAACATGGGCTTTCGAAGGCCCAACTTTACATCCCCGTTGTCAGAATACGTGTTACAAACAGACTTACCTCCTAGATGTAAAGTCCCTAAATTCACTAAGTTCTCTGGGGACACGACAGAATCTACTGTCGAGCATGTGGCGAGGTACTTGATCGAAGCAGGAGATATTTCGAACAACGAAAACCTGAGGATTAAGTACTTCCCAAGTTCTTTAACAAAGAACGCTTTTACTTGGTTTACAACTCTCCCCCCCCAATTCGATCCATCATTGGACCCAGTTGGAAAGATTGTTCCACGAGCAATTCTACATGGGGCAAACCAAGATAAG